AATTCAGCTTCTCAGATTATTTGCTCAGCATACAAGTTGAATAAATATGGTGAAGGATACAACCTTGGTCTCTAAATTCAGGAGGGATACATTCAAGGTCATATTTTCACTCTCCTGGACTTGCTTTAATTGTCTTCAACTTCAACTTGAACATGCATATGAGCAGTTGATGATCCGTTCTACAATCAGCTCCTGGCCTTGTTTTGGCCGAAGATATTGAACTTCTCCAATGCCTCTTGCCACAGATGTAGTCAATCTGATTCCTGTGTGTTCCATCTGGTGAAGTCCAGATGTATAGTCATCATTTATGTTGCTGAAAAATGGTATTCGCAATGAATAAGTCATTGGGCTTGCAAAATTCTATCATACCATCTCCGGTGTTGTTTCTATCTCCAAGGCCATATCTTCCAACTACTGGTGACTCTTCTTTGTTTCCAACTTTTGCATTCCATTAGTCACCAGTGATAATCAACAAATCTTGACTGCATGTTCAATCAATTGCAGACTGCAGAAGTTTATGGAAATCTTCAATATCCTCATCTTTGCTTTTGGTGGTTGATGCATACATTTGGATAATAGTAGTAGTATCTGGTTTTCCTTGTAGGTGTATGGATATTATCCTATCACTGACAGTGTTGTATTTGAAGACAGATCTTGAAACACTCTTTGTGACAATGAAAGCCACACCATTCCTCTTCAATTTATCATTCCCAGCAAAGCAGATCATATGGTTGTCTGATTCAAAATGGCCAAAACCAGTCTACTTCAGCTCACTAATGCCGAGGATACCAATCTTTATGCTTTCCATTTCATTTTTGACAACTTCCAATTTTCCTACATTCATACATCATACATTCCATGTTCTGATTACTAATGAATGTTTACATCTGTTTCTGCTCAATTTGAGTCATGCTACATCAGCCAATGAAGGTCCTGAAAGCTTTACTTTATCCATATCATTAAGGTTGTCTCTAATCTGAAGAGTCAGCTCTTCCTCAGTCAAATTTTGAGTGCCTTCCGACCTGATGGGCTCACCTTCCAGTACTGTCAGGGCTCTTCATAAAGTTTTCCAGTAATATATCAGACAGTGTTTCACTGCTATTCATAAGGTTTTCAGTGGCCAATTCTTTGAGAAGTGGAAAGCCTCTTCCTTCTTACAAGTCTGTCTAAGCCCAGAAATTCCACTGAAATCTCTCCACCATGGGTAACCCTGTTTGCAATACAGTAGCATAGCCTTCAGCCTCACAGCAACATGTAAGTCACCACAGGACGACAAACTGACAGACAAGTTTGTCTCCCTCAGTTGTTTCTAACCCCTCTGTACCTGCCTACCTTAGGCCCTGGTCTTAACATAGAGCCACACCCAAGCAAAAGGCAGCCTCCCAGCCCTGGGCTTGCCTACCTCAGGCCCTGGCCTTAATATAGATGCACACCCAAGCAAACAGCAGCCTCCAAGCCCTGGAACCACCTACCTCAGTCCTCAGCCTTAATACAGAGC